GAACAATCAAGGCCAACCGGCCAGATATTGTTATTAAAGACCACAAGCAAAAACGATGCCTCCTTATTGATATGGCAGTCCCTGCTGACTGCAATGTATCTTTGAAGATATTCAAAAAGCTGTCAAAATACAAGGACCTTGAAATAGAAATCTCGAAAATGTGGCATATGGAAACATCAACAATCCCTGTTGTAGTTGGAGCCCTAGAACTGGTTGGAAAAGATTGCAGTAGACTAATTGAAGGGATACCTGGAAGTCCATGCCTCAAGGAGATACAAAAAATTGTTCTGACAAGTACAGCCCACACCTTACGAAGGGCTTTATCTATGTAATTTAATTCTTTTTTTTTTGTCAGTGGAAAGTGTCATGACGCCATTTCTAACCTTAGGTCCCTGAGCGGGACCCGGAAAGAAATGTTTAAACGCCAGAAATCAAAGAAAATAATAATAATAATAATAATAATAATGGAGAATTACAGGAACACACTCGGTAGATCTAGACTTTGTCACAAAGATTAAGGAACTGGAACAAGAAGAAGCCTATAAATACCTAGCAATTAGAGAAGGAGATGGAATACAGCATGCCTAAATGAAGGAGAAAGAAAGAAAAGCATACTACAGTCGTATAGGTTTGGTATTGAATATCGAACTGAATACAAAAAAAAAAGAATATCAGTCATAAACACATTGGCTGTCCCCGTGGTGCAATACAGTTTCAACATTCTTAAATGGACCATACCCGACATTAATGAGTGGACGCCAAAACGAGAAGCTTCTCACTTGCCAAGGTTGATGTTGATCGTCTGTATGTGCCCACATCCGAAGGCGGCAGAGGATTAATTAAACTAGAAGGGTTTTACAAAACTGCAAACATCGGCCTTGAAAGATATCTGGAAACTACAAAAGACTAGATGATGATCTGTGTCAAAAAACATGAAAGAAGTAAAAAACTTAATTCAGTAATAAAGGAAACAAACAAGTTCAAAATGGAATTTCGAGTGGGTGAAGAAATGCAAACAAAAACCTAATACACCTACTGAAGCTGCAAAAACCTTAAAAAAGAAAGCAAAGGCAAATGTAATCGACCAGATACAGATACGATGGAAAGATAAACCTCTTCACGGTCAATATTCTGCCGGTACTAAAGAAGCTGATGTAGAGAAACCCCGTACCCATTAGTGTCTACGTAGTGCCAAGTTAAAGCTGAAACCAAAGGTTTTATTCGTGCTGCGCATGACAAATGCTTGCTAACTAGAAATTACCAAACTCAAATACTGAAAAATTGTGTTAGCCTAAAATACAGATTCTCTGATAAATATCCAGAAACAATTGACCATCTTGTATCAGGTTGCACGATATTGGGACCCACTGAATATAAAACCCGGCGTGACTGAGTTGGCCAATATCTGCATTGGAAAATCTGCAACTTTACGAAGAGAAAACTGCAAGAAATTTGTATAAACACCATCCAGACTCAGTTGCAGAAATAAATCCTGTAACAATTTTATGGAACTTTACAATACACATAGGCAGAACAATCAATGATAATTGCCCAAACATTGTGTTCGGAGAGCGCATAAACAAAATGTACCTTCTTACTGACATGACAGTCTCTGTAGACTGTAATATATCTTCAGATCTTAAAAAAACCCAACGCCAGTAGTTGGGTGCCATGGATTGATTGAAAAAGATTCCAATGGACTCATTGAAGGGATTCCTGATAGCCCATGCCTTAAAGAAATACAAAAAAAAACCAATGTACTCAGAAGTACAGCCAACACCTTAAGAAAGGCTTTATCTGTGTAAAGTATGTGTGATCGTAGGTGCGTTTTTTTTTCCTCAAAAATTGCTCAGTGGAAAATGTCATGATGCCATTTGTGACCTTAGGACTGGTTGGGACACAGAAAGAAATGAGTATACACCCGAAATCAGAGGAATAATAATAATAATAATATTAATAATAATAATAATAATAATAATAATAGTTCTGGCAAGTACAGCCCACACTTTACGAAGGGCTTTATCTATGTAATTTTTTTTTTTTTTTTGTCAGTGGAAAGTGTCATGATGCCATTTCTAAACTTAGGTCCCTGGACGGGACACGGAAAGAAATGTGTAAACGCCGGAAATCAAAGAAAATAATAATAATAATAATAATAATAATAAACACAAGATAGCCGTATTAAATGGATTCCTTGTAGCTCATGTCTTAAAGAAGGACAAAAAAAATTTTACTCACAAGTACAGCTCACACATTACGAACAGCTTTATATATGTGTGATCTTAGTTTTGTTTGATTGATTTTTTTTTTTTTTTTTTACAAAATGATCAGTTGCAAAATGTCATGAAACCATTTCTGATCTTAGGTTTCTGGTTGGGACCTGGAAGGAAATGTATATACAACAGTAATCCACGGAAATAATAATAAACGCGACTTGAAGGTACTTCTGCAAGTTTTATCGAGACCTGTTACCATATCACCTACCTAACAATGTTGTATAATTGAAGTGTGAGGGATAGCAAAAAAAACTACTAAATGCTACAAAAGATAGGTAGTTAGGGAGAGCCATGACGGACAACGTACTGAAGGTTCGCGGCACATATAACATCATTTGATTGTGAGGCATGTACCTGGTGTACCCTTATCAGAATGCGTGTCATGATGGGTATATTGGGCTTCGTATATTTGTAACCCATCGATACTTTGTTAGCTAGCAGTTCTCACAATCAATCAATCAATAAAAATAACACTTACTTGAGATTTTAGAGGTTATCAAGCAGGTTTACCAGACAATTACTTCTCTAATGAATTCAAACCCCCTGGGTATCCCCACGTTTATAGCTTTGAGTCAAAATACTTTAAAAACTAACACCTTACCTAGCTTTTGGAGGGATTATATTTTGTGATGTCAGCGAATACTCGTTGCCACTTTTGTAATGTCAACGAATACTCGTTGCCACTTTTGTAATGTCAACGAATACTTGTTGTCACTTTTGTAATGTCAACGAATACTTGTCACTTTTGTAATGTCAACGAATACTCGTTGCCACTTTTGTAATGTCAACGAACACTCGTTGCCACTTTTGTAATGTCAACGATTATTGTTGCCACTTTTGTAATGTCAACGAATACTTGTTGTCACTTTTTTTAATGTCGACGAATACTTGTTGCAATTTTGTAATGTCAATGAATACTTGTTGCCACTTTTGTAATGTCAATGAATACTTGTTGTCATTTTTGTAATGTCAACGAATACTTGTTGTCACTTTTTTAATGTCAACGAACACTCGTTGCCACTTTTGTAATGTCAACGAATACTTGTTGCCACTTTTGTAATGTCAACGAATACTTGCTGTCACTTTTGTAATGTCAACGAATACTTGTTGCAACTTTTTTAATGTCAACGAATACTTGTTGTCACTTTTGTAATGTCAACGAATACTCGTTGTCACTTTCGTAATGCTCGTTGTAGTAGAGACTTTGTAATCACAGATACAACTATAGTAACGCCGTTGAACAATACTGGTGTCAGACGCCTTCGAATAACACTCGCACTAATAGTACTTGCTTGACAATACTCGTACGAATAGTAACCACCGAATAGTGATCCGAATAGTAATTCATATAATGAACCAAATAGTAATCCGTATAATGAGATATTCACTAACCGCCCAACGCGGATGGATGCGACACAAGGCCCATTAATGTGGGGTATACGAGCCCGTAGGCCCGGTCATAAATTCCCAGTAGACACTGTAAAAATAGCATCGAGTAGCTGTCTACCACCCCAGACCTAGAGTCTGCCCTTAGGCATAGCCTCGTCTGGGTTCCTCTCTGCTCGGAAGCAGAGAGTTTGACCAGCACACTTCCGAAGTAATTCGGATAGTGATGATATTCACTAACCACCCTACGCGGTCGGAGGTGGCACAAGGCCGAGTTTATTGTGGGGTATCCGAGCAAAAAATATCCCCTAACCCAATAAAAAACAGGGTCGGGTAGCTGTCTACCACCGCAGACGAAAGTCTGCCCTTTGGCATAGACTCGCCTGGGTTCCTCTCTACCCAGAGGCAGAGTGTTCGACAATCACACCCCTCCGAAGTAATTCGGAGAATGATCACTTAGACGCCACGCTAATTTCCATATATACATCTCCTTTAAGTCAAAATACTTTAAAAACTAACACCTTACTGAGCTTTTGGAGGGATTATATTTTGTGATGTCAACGAACACTCGTTGCCATTTTTGTAATGTCAACGAATACTCTACTTATTTAAAATGGGATCGCCTGTGTTTGCTCTCTGGTGATCTGTGTTCAAACTCTAGTGTCGGCAGCGGCACTTTATCCCTATAGAACATTATATTATCGAGTATTTTTCCTTATGTCAGTATTTCGGATTCACTTCTTCTGTGTGCCGCGTCCTATCAGGGTGTGGGTAATCATGGCTATTCACAACGTCCTATGCTTTGTATCTCTTAGTAAGATCTGTCTTTTTCTTATCCCTCATACACCCTGTTCTACAACCCATTTACACAAGCTCATTAGGTAGGCTATTCGCTGCTTTCTTATATCTCATTTACCTTCAATCTGTCCTGTGAGTATCAAATTCTCCAGTCCCTCTTTTCTTATTAATTGCTCTTCAAATCTCTACTGTTTATTTCTGCTTCCAAATATAAACGTCTTTTTTATTCATTTTTCCTAAAAACGTATTCGTTGCTTACGCACTCCTTCTATGATCTGTTGATTTGACTGATTCATTTTTACGGCTTATCAACCATTTGCCGGTTATTTAAACTCAGAAATAGTTTTAGATTGTAAGAATTAGTTGGAGATAATAAAGGTTCAGAAGTCTTACTAATTAACCCATAGCTGGGGAGAGAATATGTGGATCCATACATTTGTCAAGGTTATTTGCGCATCAGTGAATATAAGGAATCCGACTGGAATTGGAACATGGCTCTCCGACTTCCAATTCCTAACCATTATCCATTATAAATCCAAGCTTACATCATGTGGTATTCCTAAACCGTCACCCATATAGGTACTAGCCAGGCTCAACGTTGCTTAACTTCGGTGATCGGACGAGAACCGGTGTTTCAATTTAATGTGGTCGTAAGCGTATTCATCAGTCAAAAGATTGTTAAGCAACAAGTGCTATATAGGGGTGGGGAGCGTTATCCTAAAGCCGAGATTTCATATACTGAGTGTCAAGATAAAGCGGCTCTCCCCACTTAAAAGAAAGGCGCAACATAATCTTCCTAGCCTGGTTTTTATTTGAAATTCCGTTATTCTAATTGTATTTACGTGCTTTGTTGGCCATATCATTAGGAAAGAATGTGTCGAAGCTGTTTTTAGTGTAGCGTGATCCGTATACCGACCCGACACGACACCTGTCGGATTCAAAGTCTCTGTACATGGTAGGTCATCTAGAAACTGCACAATTTTACCGCTGTCGACATGAGGTTGTAGCACTGACGTTAATCCCTCTGAGTGCAGTGGCAGCGTTGTGCCTGGCAGACGGATCCTCAGAGTTCAGGCTTTAGTTAATTATTACTTTTCAATCTTGAAGTTCCGGAAACGGGGGACTTATGCAAATATCGTTAAATGCTGTGTGTGTGTGTGTGTGTGTGTGTGTGTGTGTGTGTGTGTGTGTGTGTGTGTGTGTGTGTGTGGTTTCCGAACATAAGACCTTTCGTTTATTCCCAGCACGTGTCAATTATTATGTAATGCTTTCTTTCTTCAGACGTATAAGAAACCCGAGGCGGTAACGGTCTTTCATACATAACGTTCTTGCTTATTCAATTAGTGGATGGGTGTGTCGCTTTGGAGCTTTCTCCCAACGTGGATTCTTCATTCTCGCAAGGACATATAAGACTCCCCCCTTTTCTCTCTCTCTCTCTCTCTGTCTTTCTCTTGATGCTCAGATAGTTATATATCATCCTCCCATCGGCCGTCCCACGTGAGCACATTACAAACGCAGCTGAGTCGACCAACTGTTTGTAGGTCGGTGGCATCTCCGCTAACATGCGCACATCTGCACCTAGGAGGATATCAGTCAGCTGATTTCTCTGACGCATGCATATAACACTGAGTGCAAAGTCTATTTTAGTATCATCTGAGGTGAGTCCCGTAATGCAATAGTTAAATATTGCAGTAAAAACGGATATATTAAAGAAGAGCAATAATGGAGTCTCTCTCTCTCTCTCTCCCTCTTTCTCTCTCTCCCTTTCTCTCTCTCTCTCTCTCTCTCTCTCTATACATATATATATATATATATATATATGTATGTATGTATGTATGTATGAATACGAGGTCAGTGCCATAATAAGCATCTAGCCATCGACGATTTTAGGTCTTGGAACAATAGACAATACGGACAATTTTTGCACTCACTCAATATGCAATTATGCTGTTTTAATGTTAATATAATGTCAACGTCGGACGTTTCGGTCAAGTAGACCATCTTCAGGAGATATTCATAAAACATAATTAACATTAGATTATATTCAATTCAACATGAAAAGACGATGGGCATAAGAGTAAGACTAATCAAAACAGATAACTGACGTTGACATTATATTAACATTAAAACAGCATAATTGCATATTAGGATTTTTGTTTGTTTTTATGTATATTTTTCTTCATACTGTCGGATCTATATCCATATATTTGCTTACATACATATATATATATATATATATATATATATATATATATATATACTATTTACATTATTCGGACTATTGTCCTCATCTTTGTCACCATGTTTATCATAACATTTCGGCCCTTGTACACTCAGGCCTTCTTCAGGTTGTTGGAATGTCGAACTGAACCCTTTATTTCGCTCACTGGGGTAGACTGTACTAGTTCCACGTGCCATGTCTAATGGATGTCAGTTATGTCCTGTTAATTCCCCTCTCAAAGTTCTCCACCGCCTTAACCAGGTATTGAACTCACACTCTTTGGGTTCTGTCACTGGATCTAACTAACGCCTTTATCCACTGTGCCATGTGTACTTGAGGAAACCGTTGTATGAATTTCTGGGTATTATAAACCTAATGTCTTCAGCAACCATTTTACCAGTGTTCATATTGCTGTTATCATTGCATTTTCTTAACAGAACTCATATTGCAGTCTACCCCAGTGAGCGAAATAAAGGGTTCAGTTCGAGATTCCAACCACCTGAAGAAGGCCGGAACGTACAACGGCCGAAACGTCGTCATAAACATGGCGACAAAGATGAGGACAATGAGCCGAATAATGTAAATATTTTACATAATATCTCATCTCAGAAATATAGACAGATATATATATATATATATATATATATATATATATATATATATATATATATATATTTGTTTGTGGGGGTGCGTCTGTGTGTGTGTTTATTGACGTGGGGCTTCGCCGTTACAATGAACAGTTGATTTACCCCAGAAGATTAATGGTGGATGAGAATGACGCCGGAACACACGGATAATTTTAAGAAACCAAGATAAGGAATTTATTCCCGAATTTACATGTTTGAAATTGTGTCATTAACTCGTTTCAGGAAAATAAATCGGATTTTTTTTTAAATACGTAGTTTTAAAGAATTATCCTGAAGTAGAAATGTTTATACAACAGACTAAATGATCTGACATGAAATTATATGAAAAATATTTAAATCAAAGTTAAAAGAGTTCATTGCTCACTGAAGGAATACATGGTTGCATACATTCAAAAGTAGACGATGAGATTCTCGGATTGTCGATAGTTATTTGTGCCGTGAGATTTATCAAGTGGCGAGTAATTTAATACGGCCGAAAACTTCTACGCTGTACGCTGGGACCTGAAGCGAAACCATTCACATGAATTCAGACACTCTTCTCTTCTTAATTTAATTTTTTCTCCTCATTTTATATCAAAAAGAATTTCTTTCCTTTCTTCGTCTTGGCTCAATAGCTAATTCTTGCGAAGGTATGGTTTTCATTGGTCCCAAAACAATTTCACATAGACTCGCGAATTTATTTCCACCTCCTTTTCAGTTCACCAGTCAATTTCTATGAAGGCAATGTCTTTATTGATCCACAGCAAACTTCACATATGCCCGTGAATTCCTTTCCACCTTTTCCCTCAGCCCACTGTATTTGAAGGGAGTTGCTGAAGGGAGTTATTATTATTTCGCACTCACTACATGTACGCATGTATAATTGCCATCTTGCCTCTAATCTAAATAAGAGTACCTTGAAAAAACAGTTAAATATTTTCGCTCTAGCTAGGCATCAGATTTAATTGGGAAATGATACATTCTTATTAAGCTTAGATGTAATTTGCTAAGTACATATATATATATGTGTGTGTTTCAGTGTGTGTGTGTTTATGTGTGTATGTTTGTGTGGGTGTCTGATAAAAATATAGTTTTAAGGCAAGCTATATTTACGGGTAAAAGTGCTCACTATCAGGATATTGATGCATGTAAATATAAAAGTGAGCATTCAAGTCATGTTTCATGCTTGAGCGCAATCTTCAGGCCTGAATACTGGGTTCAAGAATGGAACAGACTGTCGCCACTGCGTATTGAACTCAGTGTCCACATATCTATCTATCTATCTATCTATCTATATATATATATATATATGTGTGTGTGTGTGTGTGTGTGTGTGTGTGTGTGTGTGTGTGTGTATGCGTGGAAAACAATATATAAAAAGGATCTTTTACAAAACAACATACTCAATGCATGCAATAGCAGCTCACCGTAATTATATAATAAATGCTACTTATTTTCAAAGAAAAGCAATCTACTAAGATAAAAATGTATAGAAAGTGCTTTAACTTCTAGATCATTCACAGTAAATTAACTTCCACGTTCTTACATTTCATCTTTGGCAGATCTTATGTTATCACTATGTGGAATATTTCATAACAAAAGTGATGCAAACTTAATCAAAATGAAAACGGAACTAAAGAAAATCAATTAGATTATATACCCAAAACACATATTTGAAAAAAATTAAATAAATTAACTGCCTCTCCTCTTCTTGCGCATGTGTAATCATATGAGGGAAAACATTAGTCCGTAAAAATCCTAAAGAAGGAAAGGCATCAAACGAAATATTATGCCGAATTTGTAATAGATTTTCATAGTATATATATATATATATATATATATATATATATATATATATATATATATATATATATATATATTTTGAACAATAAGAAAATTAAAAATTAAAAAATTAAAATCATTAGACACACTGGGTTGTAGATTAATATTCTTTCGTTTTTTATTATTATTATTATTCCATTTAGATTCCTCGACTAGTTTCGACCGAAATGGCCACCATCGGGAGGCGAAATATTTCTGCTTGCTGTTGGCAAGGAACTACAGAAATATATATATATATATATATATATATATATATATATATATATATATATATATAATCCGAAATTTTTATTACTTCACACTTATTTTTGGTGGACATCTGGTTTTGAAAGAGACACCTTGTTTATATTTTGTAATTTTTAAAAAAATGGGAGCCTATTTCAAACATGAGTGTTCAATAAAATAACGTTTGAGTTTTTATACATACATATATATATATATATATATATATATATATATACTTAGTTGTATTGATGTGAGTTTGTCACCTTGAGTTTCACGCCCTTGCAAACGACAGGGTGTGAAATCCAGTGTCACGAAATTACATCAATACAAATAAGTATGTTAGTTCTATCACCGATATTGAGCGTTTACAGTAAGTAAATGGCATATATAATATATAAATAATATATATAGAAATCACACACACACATGCATATATATATATATATATATATATATATATATATATATAGTTTATGAAAAACTAGGTAATCCGTATGGGTAAACATACATATTTCATATATATATATATATATATATATATATATATATATATATACCATAAAATAATATAGCTTTAATGCATTATATATATGGATTAAAGTGCTCGATATCAGGGATAGAGCGGATGTAAATATAAAAGTGGACATTAAAGACAACACCCAGACGCAACAGTCTCACGTTTGCGTTCAAGCATGAAACAGTCTGTTGCCTCTGGGTGTTCACTTCCATGTCCTCTGAT